GTGCTTTCCTTCGATGAGAGTTTCTTTTGAACAAAAGAAAATGATGAAAGATAAAAAAGCAATGTTATTATAAAGAAGATTTTTTGAACCAACAAAATATAATAACACAAATATATTACATGGCTTAACAAAAATGTTTGATAGTGTAATATAGATAGTAAAAATATAGTAGTATAAAGTTATGTCAGTTTTTACTATCCATTTTTTGCGGACAAGTTATTTTATCCTATAATTTTATTAAACTTTAGAAAATTATATAATTTGTGAACATTCAACAAATCTTTAATAATAATAATGTATTAATTGAGTTTAGTTGTAATTAATAGTTGCATACTTTTTCTATAATTGGAACTATATCTATATTTGTTACTTACTTAAGTAAATGTTTGCGGAATCTTATACTTTTTAGTAAAAATTCTACTTTTTGTTTAATTTCGTTTAATTTTAATTAATAGATGTAAAAGCTTTCCCAATCATTGAAACTGTTTCTAAATTTGTTAAAATTCCACATTTTACTTAATTTAGTTTAATTTTAATTAACAGCTGTAAAATCTATCCCAACCATTGAAATCATTTATATATTAGACTGAATTATCTACTTTTTAGTAAAAATTCTACACTTTTCTTATAGCTGCAAATTTTTTACAAATCATTGTAACTATTTCTATATCGGGCGATTACTTTAGTAAATGTGATTTTTTACAGAATTTTCTACTTTTTAGTTGAAATTCTCTATTTTAATTAATTTCTCCTATTAATTGCACCAATCATTACTACTATTTCTATATTCATCGATTTCTTTAGTAAATGTGAACATTTTCAGGATTTTTACTTTTTAGTGAAAATTCTACACTTTACTTATTTTAATAGCTGAAAAATCTGCTTTTCAGTAGAAATTATCCTTTTTAGATTTAAAATCTATCTTAGTCATTGAAATTATTTGCAAATGTGTTATTTACATCAGTAAATTTACTGAATTTTATACTATTTAGTTGAAATTCTCTATTTTAGTTAATTTAATTTTAATTCATTTTACCTATTAATTGCACCAATCATTAGTACTATTTCTATATTCATCGATTACTTTAGTAAATGTGAACATTTTCTGGTTTTTCTACTTTTTATTGAAAATTCTACACTTATTTTATTTTAATAGACGTCATTTTTACCAATCATTGGAACTATTTCATATTTGTTCATTACTTTTCACTAATTTACTAAGTTTACTAAATTAATGAATAAATGTTTTTATTATTTATAGGACTTTATATTTTTTAATAACATTTTTACTATAGGTGCAAAATCTATATACATTATTGCAACTATTTCTATATTTAGTAAAAGTGTACACTTACTTAAAAGTGTATATCTATCTGCTTTAAATTTAACATACACAACAAGAGATAATTGGCTATACTATGTTATATCTGCTTAAAGGACGCATCAAAACGCATTTACTAAATAAATCACTTGAAAGCTGTTATTTTGTAATTTACATTCTGCTGCTTTTCCTGCTGAAATTGTTGTTGTTATTGTTGTTAGGAAATGCACGTCAGAATTCCGAGCGCGAAAATATTTATCGATTGGGTGGGTAATCACGCGTCGATGTTTAATACTGTTGCCCGATTCTGTCGGATGCCGGGCGTTAATTGATTCGGCAATTCCTCTCGAAATGCACGATGCATACACACATACACATACACGAGGCCCGACGAGGTGAGTAATTGCCGCCGTCCCAGCAATTACATGTGGGACGAAATTCACTTGGCAAATTATAGCCCGGAGTGGAGACAATTGATGTATGGCCATTTCCACCATCCGAAACCTCTCTATCTCCTCCTTCCTCCTTACCAATGGACCAATTTCAATGGAGAACCATTTTCTTTCCGGCATCTTCACCAGTTTCCTTCCTCCCATCTCTCATTCACTGCGAAATCGTTCCTCTTCCAATTCTATTCGACCATCACATCTCAATTGCCTCAACTATACTAAATGTTCATATTATGGTTTATGGATTACGACAGAAATGGAAACGTATTAGAACTAATGTTTTCAATGTTCAATAGATAACTTGCAAATCCTAATACAATAGTTTGCTATACTTGTTTACATCATTTTCTTAAAAAAAAATATTTGTATTTAATCAAGAAATTTAATAATTCTAATTAATAGCAAATTTATTTATGAAGTAAAATATTTAACTTTAATTATAGATAAAGCTGAAATATTGCAGTAATATATAGAATTCGTTTTATTATTGCTTTCAATCAATTTAATTGTAAAATGAATAATTTGTCAATATTTTACCATCAATTCTTTTAGTTTGTATTTATTAATAAATATGTAACAATTTATGAAGTTTGTAAACCAATTAAAAACCGGTTCTATTGAATTGGGTAGAAATATATACTTTTCAATAAATTACCACAACAATAGTTTTTTTTTAATAATTTTAGTTAATTAGTTTTTTTTTAATCAAAACATAATAAATATAAATTATATACTACAAATCCTGAAAAAAGACATCCAATCTTTCGATGATTTTTCAAAACATTTGAGTTCTAAACAAATCAATACAAAATAAATACATTGGACCAAAATGTTATTCAATTAAAATTGAATTTGCTTACAATTTTAAGTCTATTGCATAACAATTTTTGATGTACTTAACTATTTAGAAATCAAAGTTTGAAGAGATTACGTAACAACATTAAGGGTAGCTTTAATTGCGTCCGCTTCTAGCATTGAAGTTGTAGTAGATTCATAGTGAAGCAATGAATTTTTATGTTCGGCACTCAATGGATTATTTTCGAGTTCAGTTGGCCGGCATTTGGCTGCTTTGATATTCGCAGTGAGTTCGTTCGTTCGTTTCGTGAAAACTTTCGCATATATTTACGGTACATGAAAATTTAAGTTTTACGAAAGTTTTACCGCTCACATCTGCACGAGCCCAGAAACCTCTCTCTCTCTCCTTTCTCCCTCTATGTATCGTTACATTCCGACGATGGCAATTTGTAACTTCCATAACTTGATTTATTACCATCTTTTTCAAAGAACGGCAATCTCTATTATATAGATTATTTTTGCACTGAAAAGTCCAATTTACTTTACATTCATTTTTAATTAAATTATTTTAGTATTTATTAGTAAGAATTCTGTAACAATTAATTTCAATTTACTATTTTCAGAAACATATCAAAAATTCATATTTTTATTTCATTTTTAAACAAATTTACATATGTGATATTATTACTTGGAATTATTGCTTGTAAAAGCTCAGAAATATAACAAAAAGTGAGTTTTTAGCAGAGAGTCGAACCAGAACCGAACCGTAAACGAAATTAACTGGAATTTTTAACTGAATCGTAACTGTAACCGGAACGAAAAATTGAAAAAAACAAACCGGAACCGGAACGAAATTTTAATTACGGTTAATTTCGGTTCAAGTTTTTTTTCTCATTAAATTAATTCATGATCGCTTTTTTTCATGTATGCTCTTTGATGGTAGTGTGCCGGTGCTAGTGTTTTAGTTTATTACGTCTTTTGTAAGAAGTTTTCTAACTAATTATTTTTTAGAAGATTTGAAAATTAAAGTTTTCATTAACAAAAACTTTACATTGTTTTATTATATTTTATAACTTAAAAATTGTCAATAAATTTTCAAAATCTATATTAATTCGTACCTTAAATTGCATTTATCAATTTTTTTTGTAATTAACAAAGAAATTGAAATCATGCTAATTTATCATTTAAAAATTAGGTCTTCCTTTGCGAGATTTACATTAAAGAGGTTTTCCTAAATATACCCTATTTGGGGAAAAAGGGTGAAATTTTGTCTAATAAAATGGGATAATCCAATTTCATAAAACTCGCAATTTCATATTAATATCATTAAAAGAGGGTAAAATTTAGTTTAAATATATTAACTAAAATACGAGGTTTACGTTATAAAATTATGCTAATCCAGAGAAGTATTTGAGTGGGAAAATAAATAAGTACTCAAATAAAATGATTTAATTATGTATAAAATTTCACAATTAAATTTTCAACTTATATAATAAAAATTTGTACTTTGTTTTTAAAGATGTAAATTCTAGTATAATGGAAATTTTCATCATAAATAAGAAATTTTTAAGAAACAAAGTTTCTATTTTTTTATAGTTAATAATCGTTTTTTTTTAATTAAGTATAGAATTTAGTTATAAAGCAATAATCAGTATTTTTTCATAGATTGATTATAATGAATTTATTTGTAAAATAATATGTATTTTTCTCAACTAAAAATGTTATTAAATTCGAAATTTTTTAGTTAATTTATTGTCTCAAACATTGTTTATAAAAAATAGTCGATTTCTATAATTAAATATACATTTTTGTTTAACAATTATGTTTAAACTTTTATAATGAAAAAAAAAATAATATTTTTTTAAATGATATTTTTACACATAAATACGAAATGAAATGAATTTTTGAGTGAATTTAATGTTCCAAAGTTCTATGGTAGTAATTTTTTTCATTGATTTATTATACATTTCGTTGTAGAATAGTATTTTTAGCTCATAAAATGGATTTTTGATAGTATTTAACGTTCTTAACTTTTATGGTAGTAATTAATTGTTTTTTTTAATGATTGATTGTAACTATAATGTAAATTTTGTTGTAGAATATTTAGTTGAAAATCCTTTGTGTTGTGTTAATAATAAAAAAAAAGTGGGATTAAATTCGTTGAAGCATCAAAGGGCTTTCAGAGAATGGGTGGATTAAATTGCGTCAGAACGATTAATTATGTAATATTTTCCATCCCTTACGTTTCGCCGTCGGCACGTCGCAGAAACTGTTTTGAAATGGTGTCATCAAAGGTCCATCCCGAGTTTGTGAAAAGATTTGTGAAAACGGCGGCGGAGGGTTTAAACGGTGTTTAATAGCAATAATAGATTTTGTTTCTGTATGTAAAGTGGAGTGGATATTTGCGCTCTGTAGCGGCGGAGGTCTTTGCATTAATGTTTTTCTTTGTCTCGTGTTTCGCAGATTGTACGGGGTTGCGAAATGTGCGCTTAACAATCGAGCCGAGGGTTGTTCAGAGACACCATCACTCGATTTTGCATTGCAAATACGACCAGGAGGACGAGCCCCTGTACACAGTGAAATGGTACAGGGGGCCGCACGAATTTTATCGTTACACGCCGACGGAACGGCCTCCGACGAAAGTCTTCCCCTACGCGGGAATAACAGTCGATGTAAGTACCTTAACAACATCTAAACTTTAGGTTTTAGTTTTTGTTTCTTCTTTTGTGGCAAACCATCCGAATTCCCCATTTCGCGATTTACCATTAGGCTATTTGCCTTTTGGAATCTAAGCAAATATTGGCTTGTTAACTTAAGCGATTCATGTTAATAGCTTTATTCAAAGTGCTCTGTAACTAATGTATTACATTATGTAATCCACAAAGGGAATAACGTATACGATCATAAAGTATTCACAATTCGTTTAAAATCAATTTTATATTCTTATCAAAACGATTGATTTCCATCATTTTATTTAAAACCATTACGTAATACTAAAAAACTACTAACAAAAAATCTATTTTCTAATTTATTTCTCCAAAATTTTGTTAATAAAATTAGTAAATCAATTAAACATTGTCGAAACAACAGCATGAACACCTGCACAAAACTTGAGTTACTAAACACAAAGATTCCCTTATTTGGTGAAGTAAAATGATTTTTACAGATCCCGTCGTGTTGTAAACGTAAATTACAAAACACTTTGAGATAAAACATGGATAATTAAAATACAAATAAAATAATTAAGAAATACTACATTTTATATCAAAATAATAATAATAAATCAAATTTAATTCTCTTCAATCTCTGCACCAGTGGATAGATAATTAATTTTCTTGATGAAGGTTTTAATAATTGTATCGTACAGCGGTTCATGAAGCCGACCTTTCTTTTTATTACATTTTTTTGTATCTCAATTGATTTTTTTATTCAAACGTTGAATTTTGGTGTTGGGAATTGGTTTAGTTAGTGTATTAGGACATTGCGTGGACCATAAGGCCGGAAGAGAAGAAAAACACTTACAATGAAAATTAATTAATTAATGATAAATTACATCAAATTACAACTAAAAAGCAAGAAATATACTAAAGATTATCAATTTATTAAGTATTATTATTTCTGGTTTCAGAAATAATCTGAATTCTGAAATTCAAAACTTGAATAATTTTGATGCTTTTTTAGCAATAATAAATAATGTATTTGGAATATTAATTATATCTAGAAGAGTACTTATTTAAATCCGCTCAAATAAACAGAAACTTTATTAAATACTACTCCAAATATAAATACCTCATGTTTGCAAAATCTGATCATTATAAAGGAAATACGTCTTGACATGGATGAGGAAGTTATACGAAACTATATTAAATCAGTGTTACTGTAATCCCTATTTAGTTGAAATAATGAATAAAAATTATGTAACAATAACTATAATAAATAAAACTGAACATATTATTTCTTGTAAAGACTTTATAAGATTATATTCCAAGCATATAGCTATTGGTAGTTGATGAACTGGACTTGAATGCCATGGCTTTTTCGCAAATATTAAATCATCATTTTTAAATGACGATCAAATGTTCATTTTGCCAATAATTTTTTGAAAATTTTCAACTTCTGAATTTGAATTTATAAAAAGAGATAACTGGTACGTGAAAGTAACATTTCTCAATTTGAAAGTTTTAAATTTGAACACACAAGGAGCAAACCAAAATATTATCACAATTAGAAGGAAATTAAAGGCTTTCACTGTGTACCAGGAAAGTTAAAAACTCATAATTTGATTATTTCCCAGGCGTAAACAGTTTTCCTAACAAATTTGAAAATTTGTCAGAAGAACAGAAAACAGTAGAAGTATATTCCATCACCTGATTATTAAATATACGAGTAGCTCATCAATCCTTTTGCAAGGAAGAAAATTTTTATTTAATTCTTTCTCAAAATCATTTTTGCACATTTAGTAAAATTATAACAGGTAATTAATATTGATTATATAAGTTTGACCTGGAAACCAAGCAGCAGTCCATGGTATGGAGCGCAGAAGGTGCAAATCTTCCCAGTTAAAGCTAGACAACAAAAATCAGCAACAAAAGTGATGATGCCGATTTACTCTACCAGAGTAAAAGTGGTAGCTGCTATATCACTGGAAACTGATCGGAGGGTAACTGCTAAGTATTACACAGACTTACCACAAGTTTTCAAAAATTTGTTGGGAAACCAAAAAAAAAAGTGGAACTTCGTCGCTACTTTTTGCACCAACAACTTTCTTGCGCTCTCTGGCATCAATGAAATTCACCCAGCACCTTATTTTACAGTCCTAGCGCAGTTTGATTTCTGACTGTTTCCGAAAATTTAAAAAAAAATGAAGTAGAGTCTTCAGTTCCAATGAAGAGATCATTAATTCAAAGTTTAAAAGCTCCAAAAAGACGATTTTGAATAATGTTTTAAAAGGTGGCTTTACTGACTTAAGAAATGTATTGAAATAAATGTAAATTATGTACAGAAATTACAAAAGAATGAAAATTAAAAATATTAAAATAAAATTATTTTCCAGGCAACTAAGCGAACTTTTGTTAGACCCCTTGTAGATACTTAAGAAATATTTATATATAAATAATATCTAAAAATTTTCTAAAATAAATTTATAATTTTAATATATACAATGTTGTGAATTATAGTACTTAAATTGAATTAGTTTCTGCAAATAATAATTCTTTATTTATTAATAATACTTTTATAAAAGAATTTTCATTGATACAAGCATTGTTTTAAAAGAAAATACAATATATTTAAAATAGAAACGCCATTAAAGATCATTCTGAAATGAAAAATATCTAGCAATTATTTGCATAATATTTATTCCATTGAAGAAAGCACTCTTATAAATCGGATTAAATCGATCGGAACTCTCGGAAACATAATTTAATACTGTAATTAGCTTTATAATATTTAAACTCAGTTTTTGTAATTTATAGAATCACAACTCGAATCAAACTTAAATTAAGTAAACTTACAACAATTATTGCAACAATCTTTGTATAATATAAACTAGAATTTAGATGATTTGGATTGTCTCTCTCTCAACATTTCATATATTGTTTTTTGTAAATTAATTTACATACTTGAATAAGTATTGAGAAATATATAATAGGATAAATAAGTTAAGGTTTAGGAATTTTTTTTGTGGTTGGAAAATGTAAATATTGCAATAAAAATAGCTTTTCTTAATAGCCTGCATGGATATAAAATAAAACCGAAAGTTTCCTGTGAGAGCGAAGATCGAGAGAGATTGCGAGAAGTATAAAAAGAAAAGAGAGGACGTAGTTTACAACCTAATATTATGCATTATCATAGGATTTGCATGTCATTACGTGTTTGCTGAGGCATTTGGGAGATGACGACAAGGGCGAGGAAATTGTCCGAAAAAAAAACAACGCGTGCTCGAAGATCGTCTCAACTATCACGATCATCTGGAGAGGGATGTAGTTGAGGGTGGTTATAGGGCACGCTCGAGGGCGGCAATATCGCATGCAAAGTATTTTAATGAAATGTTGGAACCGGTTAAACTACCAATAAAACTTTTACCCTTGTCTTCCTCTCTTAGCCCTTATTGCACGGAAAGTCAATGTTACCTTCCCTTTATGGCACAAAACATGCACACGCCCTTAGCAGCTCGGGAAGGAAATCTCTCTTCATAACTTCCCCCCAAACCTGAAACGCTTCCCACAAGAAACCGCCCACACCACGCAGCTCCTTGCAGGATCATTGCTTACGATTATTTATGAATGGCACGTTGCTGTAAATGAGAATCCTGCCGTTGTTAGCAAATTTGCGTGCAGCAAGAGGCGCATACATCTAATGACATTATATATATACGTTCTACTCAGCGAAGCTTTTAACTAAAATGGCGTATGCTTCTTTTTTTTCTTTCTTTATTTTATCCCATTTCCTTTTTAAGTTTTACTCTTTTACGGTCATCCTTGATGTATCGAGAGTGCATTGATTGAATGATATTGGCGAAAAGTATTTTTATTAAACATATTCCTCTCTCTACTTTAGGGACACTAAATGGTGATTTTGTGAGCCCGACCAAAGTGCATTTACTGGCATTTAATATTTTACGAGACCGTATAGTAATATATATATATGAATATATAGAGATTATGTCCTGTCTCCGCCGCAGAGTGCGCAAAAAGAAAAATCTCATCAGAATTTACATGAATTTTCAGTCCATCAAATGCAAAGTACAGCTTCGACATATTTTTTCATAAATCATGCAATTAAAATCACCTAACATAATAATAATCTTTATTAGTTATTATGGAACCAAAGGACTATCGACCTAAGTCTTTCCGCACAGAGACACAAAAAACATAAATTGTTACAATCATAGCACATAAAAAAAATGCATTCTGAAAAAAAAACTTATCAATTAAGCCAAATAAAATCATATTATGTTCAATATTAATATGGAAATATTTTTCAAATATATTTGCATCAATATTTGCTGATTATTGAAATGTCAGTTAAAATTAAACTATAAAATTCAAAAGAAAACATAATTGAAAATGTTCTATAAAATTATCTACTAGAAAACCGTTATTATTCATTGAATTCAACAAAAAATCTTAATATTTTACTCATGAGACAAATATTTTAAGATATTAAATGAAAATCCAATAAATATTATGCACCTCAGATCCTTTAAAAAAAAGTATAAAAGCAATATTTAGTTTTGATACAATAATTTTAACATATTTTGTGAAAATTATATAAATATTGAAAATTTCAGTATCTTCAAGAAAGTAAAAAATATAAATTCCAATAATAGTTTCAAACTTGATACTAGAAATAATATTACATAAAAATGGTATTAAAAAATTAGATTGTTAAAAAATTGAGTCATTTTATAATTAATTAATGTAAAGTAATAATTATTTTTACAACATTTTCTCAAAACTATCATCTTTTTGTTAATTAGATATTATAGTAATTTGTATTACGGATTGTAATCATTTATTATCAATTTTCAGTCAAATTGAAAAACCACTAATTTTATTGAGATTAATAATTAGTTGTATAAACAATTAATTATTGTCATCTATTGTATTCATATATTCACTTACATTTCTTCAAATACATAATCTACTATAAATCAAAAAGTATTTACAAA